GTGCCCGGCCACGCTGGGCACCGCTGGACCCCCCGTGCCACCCCCGCGGCGGCAGGGAACGCCGCTCCAAACAAGGCTCCTTTTCCCAAGCGGGGATGTGCTCCAACCAGCCCCAGTTGCTCTCGCAGCTGCATCCAATTCCATTCGCCCCCACCCGCGGGCCTGGGACACCGTGACCAAGTATCTCCGCACCAGGTGCGCGGTCCCACCCTGCCCTGGCTGCCAGCTCATGGCAAGAGCTTGTCACCGGGGCGTAAAGCAAGCCCAGATGCTGCTGCCTGTTGGTGCCGCACCGAGGCTCCCACACAATGACGAGGAGGGGCAGGGCCAGCGTGTACGAACAGCCCCGCTGCCTGCGCCCACGCGGAGGAGCCCGGCCCTCCAGCTGTGCCCGGCCGTGGGAACATCTGCACGCCCCGTGCGCGCAGCGCCGCAGGCGACGCGGCCCCGCGCGCAGCTGCCGCTCACCTGAACATTTCGGTTACTTCTCCCTTCGCCAAGGCCACGAGGAGGGGGAATCCAATGCACGCGGGGACCAGGTAGAGCAGGGCCGGCTGTGGGGAAGAGGAACGAGAGGTGAATTGAACCCCGTGATGCCTCTCGGAAGGGCGCCGGGCCCAGGCCCCTCCGCGCTTGTGCCACACGGGGGTCAGCGCTCAGAGCCGAGTCACCGGCTGTCCCTGCACGGGACAGCGCCGCGCCGAGGGGCCAGCGCCCAGGGCCAGGGCTGGCACTGCCCACGGACAGGGATGCAAACAGGGTGGCCGGCTTCAGGTGCAGGAGGTGCCACCAACTCAGCAGGCTCTTTGTGAGAGCCGGGAAATGTTCACCCAGGAAGATGGGAGCGTTGGGCTACACAGGGCACAGATGGTCCCACAGGCTGCGCCCCGGGGAATACAACAGAAAGAACTGCCACTCTGGAGAACTTAATGTTATTTAAAATGAAAGCGAATGCAGAATGGTGCCTTCTGTGCCTCCTCTGTCGCCTCAGATAACCTTGATGGCTTGGGACACTCTGTAGTGTCAAACTGTACTAGAAAATAGTGCAGGGAGCAACAACGCAGAATCCTTGTACATATTCCTATGTCAGTGAGCAGGTAAATAAAATTTAGAACGTGTAAATAAAGTGGTAAATGCTAGACATAACTTTGAGTGTTTAGTTACCAAAGTCTTTGTAATAGCAGTAGCACAAGACAGCAGCAAGAGCGAGGGCTGCTGTGCCCACCCGCCACGTCAGCGCCCTGCTAGATCTCCCTGGCTGGGGGTTACGGGGCCGACAGGCTGCCTGGGGGCTGCACTTGCCCCGTCCAGTACTCCAGAGCAGGCCAGAAATGCACCGAGGGCTCCCACAGGGACCAGCAACAGCACCCACAGCACAGGCACGCTGAGAGCCCCTTCCTGCACCAAGGATGGCCCCTCCAGGGCAGCTCTGGTAGAGAACTCCTGGGAATGCAGCTGCCTGAAGCAGTCTCCCCAAATGGGACTGCCCCAGACACACACTGAGCAGAGCTTTGGGCAGGGGACAGGTCTGTGCAGTGGGAAAGTAAAGGCAAGAGAAAGAACATTGCTTTTCCCTAGCACTGTGCTAGGGCCCCATGGCCCGGCTGGCTTTTCCTCCGCGCGGGGAGGCCTGCGGGGTGCACCTGAGCTTACCTGGGCATGCTTGAAGATGTGCATGATGAAAATGGTCAGGCCAAGCCCGAAGATGTAGGCCACAAAGCTGGTGTAGAAATACGTGTGCGTGTTCTTCTTTAAGCTGCACAGAAAGGGGGCAGAGTCACCTCCAGCCCAGGCCCTGCAAGGCCAGCAGCCCAAATCCCTGTGTGGAGAGGAGCCAGCCCAGCTCCGGGGGCGGATGCCACGCTGTGCCTGGCACAGTGGGCAGCACAGAGACCCCAGGGCGGCACCCGGCCCCACGGCAGCAGCGCCGAGGGGCAGACGGGCAGCGGGAGAGGCCGGGTCGTGCTGCTGGATGGCTACATGCGGGTGGGAAGCAGAACAGGAGAGCCGGCGAGGGGGGCTCCCCTGCGCAGGCTGCCTTTCCCCGGCAGCCCGCTCGGCACGTGCTGTTTGCCTGCAGCGAGGCCAAGGGAGCTGCGATTCCCAGCAGGTGCAGCGGGGCTGTGGGTGGAAACACCTGGGAGAGCTGGCACGGACGGAGGGTCTGCGCAGGCGGCCGCGCCGGCGCAGCGGGGCCCGTTCCCAGGCCGCGCCGGGCGCCTTCGGTGTGGGGCAACTGCAGAGAGCTGCGCCCTGGCCGCGTAGGAAGGGGCCGCCTTTGCCAGCGCTGCCAGGCCCCGATCCGCGTCCACAGCGGGAGCGCTTCCCGTGCCCAGCTCCTTCCCTCGCCCACGGGCCCTGGTCTCCCTCCTCTCCGGAGTCCAAGCTGGCCAGGCCTCACACAG